TCACCATCCAATCCACATGAGCCTAATCGACGTCGACGAACGACTGAAGTGAATCGACGAGTTACATGAGCGGATAGGACTTCGGAATCACGAAGACCCGGACCAATCGGGAAGCCCGGCACTGTTCACAAAAAGGACAACGCCCTTCATGCCTCGACCACTCTACAGATAATCCAATCACCAGAGCAGGTCAAACTCTTCGTCCCTAGGGGTGTCTCGGAAATTCCGAGACACCCCAAGGGTGTCTCGGAATTTCCGAGACACCCAAGGGTGTCTCGGAAAATCTCCGAGACACCCTAGGGTGTCTCGGAATTTCCGAGACACCCCAAGGGGTGTCCTCACGTTTGTGGTCCCCTAGCCCCCTCCTAAAGCCTATAAATAGCCCCCCTTGGTGCCTTGATTTGAGGAGGAATTTTGGAGAGCTTGGCGAAGCCCTGCTGCAGTGAAGAGTGCCCGTGTGCTTCAACAAGAGGAGGAGAGGCCTTGATCAGAGCCTTCATCGCCCGTCAGATCCTTAGTATCGGCCTTAGCGTTGATACTAAGAAGAGCTATTACCTCGCTTTAGCCGAGGTATACGCTTATAGCTTCTATATCCCTCCGCGGATAGGCGAAGCTCTGTCCGATTTATCCGGATCAGAAAGTTTCTAGATCTCACGCGGATCAACGAAACTCTGTCCGATTTATCCGGACCAGATCTGAGTGCCCCGGTGGTCCACGGATATCAACATCCCCGTCACAGGCAAAAGACCCACGCAAGCAAGAGATGATGAACAGATCTTGCGTTTGTTTGAAAAGAGTTGTATCTATTTTGTTTTCATTGTGTACCGGTCTTATAAAAAGGCTATCTTTTTATTTCATTGTAACGATTGAAGTTGTAATGAATGCAGCAATGAACACAGCAACTTTTTCCGCAAACATCCGTAATAGGACTTTCCTTTGCCGTTTGACTTCTTCTTGGATGACGATCGGGCCCACTGTCCACCTTCAATCAGATCGGGATGGACCCAGAGAATTTCACCATTTGGGACTATATGTGGCATAAGTCCTTTCTAGTGCTGTTTGTGAGGATCATCGTTGATGGTTTTTACCGCTACGTTCATTATGGGCTCGTGCTGAAACCAATTCAAAGGAAAAGGTCCGAAGCTGATTGACATTGCATTCGTGCCCACCTTCTTCTCCATAGATTGTTTCATAGTAATGACCCCAACATCGATCAAAGCTTAGATTTTATCTTTGAGGGCGTAGCATGATTTGGTAGGGTGGTCAGTACTTTGGGTCATTAACTCTTTTAGCGTCTTCTTGATCTTAGATCGGATGAAGCTTGATCTTATTGTTCTCTATAAGGAATATGAAAATACCGGGGACTTCGTCTTCTCTAAACGAGTAAACCTTTGGGAATTTTGGTTCCGAGGTCTTTTGTTTTTGAGGTTGTCGTTGCCACTGCAACTGCTGAGACGCCTTTTGTTGTTACTGTTGCTATTGCGGTTGCAGCTCGAATGTTTGGTTCACATCCACTATGTTCACTTATGCTTTTCCTTTACCCCGAGGGACAAAATTCTGTTGTGGAATATTTGTCGTCGTTTGACCTCTTTCGGCCTTCTTCATCTTGAGGAAGTGTTCGGCTCGTTCTCCTCGCACCTTCAAATCCTTCCAAGTCCTGGATGGCGCGATTCACATGGCTTCGAGGATATCTAACGAAAGATTGTTATCACAGGTTTCCAGAATGAAGTCCTCGCTGACCGGATCTCGACAATTCATCCTTTTGTTCCAAAATTGTTTGATGAAGTTCTCGACTAACTCTCCTTCCTTCTGTTTCTCATCGATTAACATTTCGATTGAAACCTCGGTATCGTCATCGAAGAAATTTGTAAGAAATGTGTCCTCCATATCATCCCAACTGCTGATACTCCCTGGCTTAAGACGGTGGTACCAATCAAAGGCTGCCCCGCGAAGGATACCGACGAATGACCGTACCATCAAAGGTTCATTGCCGGAAATTATTTCCAAGTGAGACTTGAAGTATATTAAATACTGAGTGGGGGAACCCTTTCCGTCAAATGGTGTGAAGTTGATCAAATTAAACTTCACTGGGTACGGGATTGATTCCCACTCTCTTGGGTATGGACACGGTATTCCGGACTTCTTTACTTCTTGAGCACTCATCAATGTATTGATTTTGCTCTTTAGGTCCCTTATTTTCTTATCCTCGCTCGTATCTTTCTTTGAGCGATCCTAAGGAGAAGCGACGTAATCATCTTTCATATTATTATCATCCGAGGGACCACCCCCAACATTTTTGTCCGTGGAAGGGGTATCCATGTTGGTATTCTCGTCCGCTTCCCGATCACTATTAACTTGGTTGGGATTATTACGACGGTTGGATTCTCCCTGTTGATTTGTCAGCGCCGCAATTTGTTGGCTGTGCATTTCTTTCATCTCCTGCATAGACATTTCTCTTTTAAATTTGAAATTCTCTTTCTACTTGGTTAGAGCGTCCTCGAGAATTTTAGCCATTTGCTCTATGTTGATCATAAATGATTCATAGGATTGTCTTATGCTTGACGTTGTATCATCGGAAGCCATTGCAGAACAAATGTCTGACGTTTCGTCATCTAAGGGTAGTCCTTTATGCATTCTTTGGTAATCCCTTTGTCTAATGGTTCCCGATCGTAATCAGGTCATACGCTGGGATACTGCTAAAAACTGATCAGGACTAAAGTATCGTGTTGACCTCCCCTTATCGGTCACGTTAACGGACACTTCTGGAAATTCATCGTCCTAAGCCGCTGATTTCTTCCTGCGGAAATGCCTTGGTTTGGACTCAGACATTCCGGTGGAGATTCTTTCAAACACCGAAACTCTCTTCAGGACAGTCTTGGGACGGCAACATTCTGACAATACTGCCTTGATAATTTTGACACACAGACAATGAGAGTCTGTTTCTCGGTTACTCCTTTTCCAAGACTTATTCGTACCCCCAGCCCGATAGTACAACTCATCGGTCTGATGACCAGAGCAACCCATCGTGTGTTGGCATGACCCTCCAAGTATAACATCGTCGTCAGATGAACATGCTTTCCTCTGGGAATTCAATGCTTTGTTAGCGTCTTCAGGAGTCACATGTTTGAGGCTACGTTTTTGTGAGCATAGGATCTCAACAGGCTCCTGGACTTCGACACGTAATCCAATGCGATCAGTTACAAGGGCCTTCCCATCATGGGATCTCTTCCACTGCTTAGGAGGATGATTACGACCCAGAGCCTGATAAACTACTTGAGATTCATTCAACGGGCCTAAGTGTTCTTTAACCGAGGTTTTGCCTCGACCCACGTGAGAAGGACTAAGACGATCCATGATCTTCATCTTAAATCAGGATAAGTCCACACTGCAGTGGGGCTCCACTGAAGATGCTTGATTTGTCGGGACAGTAACAGGGGATGTCGGAGACTTAGACGGGACTGTAGGAAGTGAACCAGGCACAAAACGAACCGAACCGGCTTGGTTCAAATGTGAACCACCATTTGGTGGTTCTTATTTTTTAACGACTTTGGGCGTTGTTCAGATAGTTTTTAACACCGGTTTGGACTTTGGCTTCCAGACTTGGCATAATTTTGGTGGCTTCTGGACCACCTCTTTTTGCTTCAGCTTCTGCACTTCTTGCATGAGAGCCCGCGCATGCACAAGTAACGCACGATGTTTCTGGATCTGCTCTTTGAGGGTTGAACATGTCCTTTTGATGCGGACCCATTCATTCGTCGTTGATTTGGGGGAGGAGTTGCCTGCTCACTGTTTTGGTGCTTAGCTCATTCTGGACTTCAAATCCACTTCATAACGGATTCCATCAACTGGCTCCAAAGCTTTATAGCCAGCTGGCGCGCGAGGCGTTGGCGCCGCCTTTGACATGCTCTTTTTGATAGAATAGGCACGCTATCAGCTGTTAAATCCTTACTCAAGGGGTTCAGATCTGCGGCTTCGGCTTCGTCGGATGCCAG